GTCGTAACGCACTAGCAAATCTTCTAGAATACTCGTCACGTGACCCTCCCACTGTCGTAACACTGCCCCTTCCTTAGTATTGTTCGTCCCGAACAATAGCTACTTACATTAAACTAATAAACAATTAACAATAACTTAATTAAATGTACAGAATTTACAAGCACAAAATTAAAATTCATCAAAGTCTTTAATTTTTTGGGACGTATCTTCTTCCGCACTGGTCTCTGTCTCGTTGGCTTCTGATTCATGTGGGGTTCATCTGCTTCATCAGGAAACGTCCTATCATTGGCAACAGTCACATCAGTAATCAAGGGCTTCACTGTTTTCCTTCTCAAAACTGGGTAGAGTTTCTTCTTCAGCAGAGGCTTTTTCAGGTGACACGTCTTCAGCATCGTCATTTGTTCTGTTGTTCACTTAATTCCAACTGTAATGTCCTGGATCATGATAATGCCAAAGCCTGTTGGCATGCACCACCTTTGGCTTACCTCGCCGACCACATTTTATCCGGAAAGTCACGTTTGAGAGACGATCCACTATGTCATATGGGCCTTCCCATGGAGAAGACAACTTAGGGGACTTCCCTTTGGTCTTCCTGGGATTATACAACCATATCTTGTCTCCTGGTACAAAGCTGACTTCAGTAGACTTCTTATCATAACATAGCTTCATCGAATCACCAGACATTTTCAAGTTTGAATGCACTTGATGGTGAATATCATCCATCCTTTCCGATAACACTTTCAGAAACTCTGACACATTTTCAGGCAACTCTTCATAAGGTGGGCGTCCTGTTAACAGATCCACTGGCAACCAAATTTCCTGACCAAACATTAACTTTGCTGGAGTGTATCCAGTGGCTCCATGCTCTGCTGTTCTATAGGCCATTAACAGTGGAGGGAGTAAGACATCCCAGTCATCTTGGCGGCTTTTAGAAAACTTTGTCAATTCTTGTCCCAGTCTCCAATTGTATTTTTCTACCATCCCATCAGACTGTGGGTGAAGTGGCGTTGGTCTGGTCTTTCGTATGCCAAACACCACACAAATGTACTTGTTTCCAGCACGCGTTTGGGGCCAGCAATGTCAATGGCTACTCTTTCCATTGGTGTGCCAACTTGATATAACTTCATTGGAGCATGTCCCTTATGCTTGGGTCCCCTTTTAGCACAACATGTACTGCATGTTCTGCACCATTCTTCCACATCTTGCCTCATACCTATCCAGTAAAATCTCTGTCGTAGGTGACTCAGTGTCTTCTTAACTTCAAGATGTCCTTCTGTTAAACTATCATGGGATTGACGCAGCACAACTTCCGTAACTTTCTTGGTATAGCTGTTTGCCAAATCGTCACTTTCCCATTTGCAGTTTCCCATCTCTGGAGAAGAATACCATCTTCAAGCTTCAACTGGTCCCATTGTGCCCAGTAGTTCTTTGTCACAGGGCTTAAGCTAGACACCTTCACCCAAGCAAGATGCAAAACACTTGCTTTTAGAAAATCAATTATTGGTATCAAATCTTGGTCTTTCTCCTGCTCTGCTTAAATATCTATACCTGATTCCACTTCACCATCATCAACTCCTTCAGTCACTTTGACTTCAGCTTGATGACACCTGGTTAGTTCAACCTCTCTTTTAACACTTACCGGAATTTGGCATTTGTTGTTCCCAAACGTCATTTTATCGAAGTTATCTACACACTTCCTCGGTAGTAAGTTGTCCAACCATAATATATATATTTCAGTTTATGACATAGACCAGTGGTTTCCAACTACTTGTCCACAGGGAGATTTCAACCAGTCTCTAAGATGGTTGAAAAAAATGTGTTTTCAAATATAGCAACTGAAGTATATTGTTATAAAAGGTAACTTAAATGTATTTTAAAAAAGTTAATATTGTATGAAGCTGCCCCATGACATTTTTCAATGCCAGCCAAGTATACTTTGTGTCTGTCCTTCATGCCCATGAGCTCAATAGTTCCCACAACCTTGCATAATGTCCTGTTACACCACAGAGCTTCTGTATGACTTCTGGTACTTTTTGTGATCTAGCACATTGATACTCACAAGTGTTTGCTGAGATTCAGAATCTATGACAAAGTTGCTCGTTTGAATGTCCAGCTTTTCTGTCACATAGACACTATATGTGCTTATCATCTTACACTTAGCTGTTGGTACTTTCACAATGGGGGTTGGTGGGCACCCCTCAGCACCAACCACTACTGGTTTTTCAAAGCTGACTTATTGGTAGTATTCTTCTTTACACTGGCTCCTCATGCATTGAGCTTTCTTGTGTCCAGGTTTGTTACAGTGTCAGCAAAGTCCCTCAAACCTCTCTGAAAGCTGACCTTTTCTGGCCTT